GGGGTTTAGGGTTTGGGGTTTAGGGATTAGGTTTAGGGAAGCCTTCTGCGCCAACTAAACCCTAAGCCCTGGATTCCTATCGAGACATCACTCCCAACATACCTCGCACTCGTTCCTCTACACCCTTTCGCTCACTCGAAAAAAAACACCAACTCCTGACCTCCGGGGTTTTGGGTTTAGGGTCCCGATACCCCTTGTTAAGGGCCTGAAAGGCTCCTTTATCACGAGGCACGTTGGGAAGTAGGGTCTAAGGGTCAGGACAGTGCAGGTCTCAAATTTTGCAACCCCAAACCCCAAACCCCAAACCCTAAACCCTAAACCCTAAACCCTAAACCCTAAACCCTAAACCCTAAACGCCCACATTTCAAAAGGCCTCGGAAACTCTGCTTGCTCGCCGGAGCGGCTCCAAAGCGACGGTGACTGCACCATGAGCTGCGTCGCCCGGCAGAGTTGGCCATAGGGCACGAGGAAGCTCCACACCTGTTCGAAGGGTTTAGGGTTTAGGGTTTAGGGTTTAGGGTTTAGGGTTTAGGGTTTAGGGTTTAGGGTTTAGGGTTTAGGGTTTAGGGTTTAGGGACACACCTGTCGAAGGGCTTTGAAACGGAGCTGAATGCGCATCCTGGGGCCCTAAACCCTAAACCCTAAACCCTAAACTGCTTAGGATTTGGGATGGAGGGATCCGGATCCCCTGAATTTGCTTCTTGGTCCCACAAAAGGAGGTAAGGGACCACATGAAGGGTTTAGGGTTTAGGGTTTAGGGTTTAGGGTTATAGAACTACCCTTAGAGTCGAAGGGAAGGGTTGCCTTCTATGGGCCCAAGACTGAGAAGCAACCGTTCCGAAAGAGCAACACCTTGTCCAGGACATTTGCGCCGATGCATAGACTCATAGCCCAAAGCCTAAGCCCTAAACCCTAAATTCTGAGCCGTAAATACCTAACTACCCAAAGTACCCTGATTACCCTACTTAGCCTAATTACCCTAAACCTGAAACCCTACTTCCCCTAAATTCTAAACCCCAAGCCCTAGTACAGACCTGGGAGGCGACATTGAACAGGCACTTTATGTTATCCACACAAGGAACTGGCAAGACGAAACCTAAAACCTAGACCCTAAACACTAAACCCTAAACACTAAACCCTCCCTTCTGGCAAAAACTGACAGGAGCAGTCTGAGCCTGAAGGACAACGCTTAGGGAAAAACAACTTCTATGTGGCTACAATAGGAACCCAGAACAAAAATATGTACTATAAGTAGCTATACTAGGAACCCAGAACCAAAAAAAGTATTAAAGTGCAGTACTCCAACAACCGGTTGGAGGAAAGATGGATCGAGCAACAGAACGGAAAGCACGCGAGTTGCCAAGTCTTGTGGTACCCAATTGGGTGAGTGTGGCTCCGTCGCTTGACAAGCTGACTAGTACATGCCGGTACTGGAGATGCGGAGCCCTAAACCCTAGACCCCAAACCCTAAACCCCAAACCCTGAACCCCAAACCCTAAACCCTAAACCCTGGACCCTAAACCCTAAACCCTAAACCCTAAACCCTAAACCCTAAACCCTAAACCCTAAACCCTAAACCCTAAACCCCAGGCCTCTTGTGCGGAGCCCAGGTGTTGCAGCACGCTCAGGTGCCTTGGTTGCTGCATGTTGCTCTGGGACCCCCAAGCAACCTAGGAGAACAGGGTTTGGGGTTTGGGGTCTGGGGCTTAGGGTTTAGGGTTTAGGGTTTAGGGTTTGGGGTTTAGGGTGTAGGGCTTGGGGTTTAGGGTTTAGGGCTTGGGGTTTAGGGTTTAGGGTTCAGGCTTCAGGTTTAGGGTTTAGGGTTCAGGTTTAGGTTTAGGGTTTACCTACCCCCCCAAGGAGGGAAGCAGAGCCCACCCAAAGATCCCGTGCGAACGCTGTCCAGAGTATGTTTGGGCAACGTGAGAAGACGGCTCCGCATTATCACGAGCTAGGAACCATCAAATAGGGTATAGGCTGAGGGAGACCCGGGTATTTCGACCCTCTCAATAAGGTCCCTGCTTAAGGGGAACCCTTCAGGATCCCTAAACCCTAACCCTAAACCCTAAACCCTAAACCCTAAACCCTAAACCCTAAACCCTAAACCCAACAAGTGCGGTCTGCTTGCAAGGCATCCGGCCAGTCTGAAAGCGTGAGTTCGGCCATCGTCCAGGAGTGTCATAGCGCTTGGAAATCAGTGTTGTTTAGGGTTTAGGGTTTAGGGTTCAGGGTTCAGGGTTTAGGGTTTAGGGTTTTGGGTTTAGGGTTTAGAACCCCCAAAAAAGAAACATCATCCAGTTCTTGCCTTTATAAGGAAGATTTTTTTGGGGGAGGGGTTCTTAAGTAAACAGTAGTTCGGGTGGTCAAGGCACTGGGGATGAGTCCGCTGAGCACATACTCTTGAGAGGTTTAGGGTTCTGAGGTTCTCGTTCTGGGGTTCCAGGGTTCTCGGGAGACTTGTGGAGTCTGCTGGCCAAAGTGTGACGTCTTTCACCATAAAGTTTCTGCTATCTTCGGCGAGAGCCTTGCTGCTTGATCAGCCCTCAGTCCTCAACCCTAAACCCTAAACCCTAAACCCTAAACCCTAATAAACCCTGAACCCTAAAGTCGTCTGCCGGAACAACAAATCAAACAGGCTATAGCACCTGCCCACCTACTTGGAGGTTCGTTGGCACTTATAACCACAATTATGGCTGCACTCATCAGCCCATCAGCCCCGTAAGTCCCGTAAGTAGGTTATAAGTAGACTCTAGACTTCTACTTGGGGTTCGAAGTACCCATGAACCTTCAAGTGGGGTTAGCAATGGGAAGCACCTGAAAAAGTGAAGGGTTTACTCGTAGGAAGAAAGTTCAGAATTCCCATGAACCCGAACTTGGAAAGGAGCGGAGCCTAAACCCTAAACCCTGAGTCCTAGATCCCTAAGCCCTAAACAGGGCTATTTAAGGTTTAGACGGTTTACTTCGAGTTGTTCAGGGTGTAGATGGGTTTACTGCTGAGGCCTTAATAGCTTCAGGAGACTCCTGTCCACCTTGAACTTACTTCTCTCGAGGTGGGCATCCTAGCTGGGAATAACTTGCACTTACAGCCGGAAGCCTAAAACGTAAAGCCCCCCAAAAGACAACTAAAAAATGGGCATAGCTGCTTAGATCGTCCCCTTCTAAGACCCAATTGCACTCAATCAGAACCTGAGTTTAGGGTTTAGGGTTTAGGGTTTAGGGTTTAGGGTTTAGGGTTTAGGGACTACGGCGCAAAGCCCCCAACATCATCAGACCCTCAACCTTTAACCCTCAACCCTGGATGCCATACGGCCAGGAGAGAAACTAGACCCAGCAGTCGCCTAGGAATGAAAAGGGTGCCCGTTTTGGGTTTAAAGAGGGTTTAGGGTTTAGGGTTTCGGGTTTAGGGTTTAGGGTTCTTATAAGGGAACCCAAAGCCTCAAAAATGGAATAAGGACCTACTCTGGGTCCTAGGAAAGCGAAAAAAGGTAGACATTGGAGACAGGCCGCGCTGCCCCGGCCTGACTTCTCCAAGAAGGGTTTAGGGTTTAGGGTTTAGGGTTTAGGGTTTAGGGTTTAGGGTTTAGGGTTTAGGGTTTAGGGTTTAGGGTTTAGGGTGAATGAGATGCAGCCATGTGATAGGGGGTCATCGCCCATTATGGGTTTAGGAGTACATGTAACCCTAAACCCTAAACCCTAAACCTCTTTCGAGCAAAAAGAAGAACATCTCCTCATACCCGAGCCCTAAAGCCCGTGAAACCCTAAGTCCTACGAACCCCGTAAACCCCAAATCCCTCTGTCTGGGGTTTAGGGTTTAGGGGTTTAGGGATTAGATCTTCGTGTTTTTTTTTTTGGTTCCTGAGGCTGCTGGCAAGCTTCTACTTCTACTCGCGGTTCTCACTGCGCGCGGCTCCCCTAGGACCTAGAACCTCGCGACGTCGCGCAGTTTTGCGTGCCCAAAAGGTCCACGACCCACCCTAGACCCTTAACCCTATATAATTCAACCCTAAACCCTAACCCCTAAACCCTAAAGTCACTGGGGCCTCAGGTCAGGCGAGCAGCACCCGCCAGCCTTGGCCAAGAGGAGTTTTGGGGTTTAGTGTTTAGAGAGTCTATGGTTGAATATACTCCCCTTAGAACCTAAACTATGAAAGATGAAAATCCCTATATTGCCCTTATAAGGCGGATTAATCTGCATTTGTTTTTTGTTTTTTTTGGGGGGGTGTTTAGAGAGTCTATCTAGTTCATGGTTGGGGGTAGTACTTGAAAATTCAACCCTAAACCCCAAACCCTGAACCCTTTTTTGAGAACAAATAAAAGCTCTAAACCCTAGACGATAAAGTGGTCTTTTCACTCTCCACGCTAGTCTGGTCACGATGGAAGAAGCTATCGGCGACTTTCACCTCTCCCAGTTCTTCCTCCGAGCTCTGCATGATCTACCGTTTCCGGGAGGTCGGCACACCCCTGTAGACAGAGTGCGGTTTAGGGTTTAGGGGTTTAGGGTTTGGGGCTTGGGGTTTAGTTCGGGCTTAGGGTTTAGGGTTCAATTTGGCTTGGGGTTTAGGATTCGTTTAACTAGGGCTTAGGGTTTAGGGCTCAATTTGGCCTTGGGGTTGAGGATTCTGGGAAATCAGCCGAGGAGGCACCGACCTCTCTCATTGCATCTTTGTACACCTGGAAGGCCTTCTTCCTCAAAAAGCCGCTCAGACGTGGATGTTCTGCGTCGTCTTCCAAGCCGTGCCGTCAATCCGCTTCATCATGGCCTTGAGTTGCTTCATGGGCCCACACTCCTTGGCAGCCCCCGCAGCCATTTTCTACTAAGGGTACCCTTGCGTGGGGTTGGTTTAGTTTATAAGGGAACCTTGAACCAATAAACCCTGACCCTAAACCCTAAACCCAAAACCCTAAACCCTAAACCCGTAACCCTAAGCCCTAAGCCCTAAACCCTAAACCCTAAACCCTAAACCCTTAAACCCTAAGCCCTAGTAAAGGGTACCACTGGGCTACCAAGACTCATAGAAGTCTGAGATGCCATCCTGGATCATCGCCTGCATGCAAGGCAATCCACTCCACGCAGAAACCCTAAACCCTAAACCATAAATCCCAAACCCTAAACTCCAAATCCCAAACCCTAAACCCCAAACCCTAAACCCCAAACCCTGAACCCTAAACCCTGAACCCTAAACCCTAAACCCCAAACCCCAAACGCCTGCATGCAAGGCATCCACTCCACACAGTTCGTCAGCTGGTCCGCCAGCATCTCCACGATCTTTGGGACGGGAGTGCCTGCACTGAACTAGGGTTTAGGGTTTAGGGTTTAGGGTTTAGGGTTTAGGGTTTAGGGTTTCGGGTTTCGGGCTTAGGGTTTAGGGTTTAGCTGTTTCTTAGGAATATATGAGCGACTGCAAAACCCAGCTGGTGGCGCTAATGGACGCAACATGAGGGGTGTCGAATTCAAGTGGTCCCATCGTTTTACAGGGTTTTAGCATCAATAATCCACCCTTGATGTCTGCAGGTGGTGCTTTGGGAAAAATTCAAGGCCATAGCACACCCAACGGTTCATTAACTTCGGGGTGTCGCTTGTCAAGTGTTGCCATCGCTTTACAGGGCTTTTGGCATTCGTGTCCGCCCTGAATTACTTGAATGGCTGGGGGTTTTGGCGCTTGCTCATATAGTATTTAAAACCATTCGTTGCTCCTCGGGAGTAATGGTACTCGTAAAAATATATTCCCAAGTATCTCAAAGGTGCCCGCAGGAATCTTGGCTCCCGTCAGGTTGGCGTAGAGATCGCACGTGGGAGGCTTCATCTTTGGCTCCACCTGGGGGTTTCCAAAATTGCGGTTTAGGGTTTAGGGTTTAGGAGTTAGGGTTTAGGGTTTAGGGTTTAGGATTTAGGGTTTAGGAATTAGGGTTTCTGAAATCTGGGGGTACCTTATTGGGGTCCTGATGATAAGGGGATCCTACTGTTTGGGAATCTATCTCGGGGGTCCCCTATTTTCGTCAACCCCAAACCCCAAACCCCAAACCCCAAACCCCAAACCCTAAACAAACCCTAAACTTTACAGACCCTAAGCCCTAAGCCCTAAGCCCTAAGCCCTAAACCCTAAACCCTAAACCCTAAACCCTAAACCCTAAACCCCCGGACCTCCTTCAGGGCTGCCAGGAGCTTCTCGCGCGCTGGCATCATGCACTTGGTGTGGAAAGCACCGGAGGTCTTGAGCTCCTTGGCCTGCAAGCATCCTTGGCTGGGAGGCAGTTTAGGGTTTAGGGTTTAGGGTTTAGGGTTTGGGGTTTAGGGTTTAGGGTTACTATAGGGCCCTTAAGTTTGGCTCACTGCTGAACTCCTCCTACATGTTTAACTTGTAAGCTCCTTAGTGCAGTTTCTACCCAAAGCCCCAAAAGGGTTAAAGTCCTAAGAGCCAGCCAGAAGAAAGCCAAGCATCCTTCCGTGGCGTTGGCCTTCTCCAAGAGCTTTGCGATGGCAGCTTTGCTGCCGGCGCAGGAGAAGCCATTGGGAAAGAGGATGTTGGCAATCTGGCCTTGGTAGCCCAGCAACCCTACTGCAATAAGGGCACCGAAGGGAACCCAGAACCCGAAAAAAGGGAAAAGAAACGGGTCCCACTGGGCTACCAAGTGGCACACGTCCTCCGGGCCGGACTTGGACTCATTGCACAGCTTCTCGACCTTCTCCTTCGAGAGCCCGGCCAGGGAGATCATCTTCTGCGGCGAGGCCTCTGCCGCCTCTTGCATGGCTTCCCCTCTCAACTTCACCAACCTGAGCCCAGTCTCCTTGGTAGCCCAGCAACCATCTTCAACAACAGGGCACCCCCTGTTTTGGGGGGGGGGGGGGGGGGCTACTTGAGAAGGAAACCCATAACCCCCCCCCCCCCCCCCACCCCCCCCCCCCCCCCCAAAAAAAAAACAAGGCACCTTTTTTTTGAGTTTGGCTACTTAAGGAGGAAACCCACAACCCAAAAACGAGGCAAAAGATACCACTGGGCTACCAAGTCTCGAAGTCGAAGACCCCGGCCACGGTTAGCCTTGTTGTTGGTTACTAGGGACTGAGGGGAATGAGGTACCCTATATAATCCCTTAAAGGGTATATACAGGGCTAAACCCTAAACCCTAAACCCTAAACCCTAAACCCTAAACCCTAAACCCTAAACCCTAAACCTTAAACCCTAACCCTAACCCTAAACCCTAAACTCCTGCTAACCAAAAGTAAGCAGCGCGGTGTACTCGCCAAGGGAGAGCCCTGCCACGGCAATGGGGTTCTCGGCCGCCCCTGGGTTCTCTTTTCCTTGGTTGCCCAGTACTACGTTTAGGGTTTAGGGTTTAGGGTTTAGGGTTTAGGGTTTAGGGTTTAGGGTTTAGGGTGTTTGCTGAAGAACCCCAAAAGAATACAAAATAACAATCCCTGTATTACCCTCTATAAGCAAGAATGGTTTTACTTTTTCGGGGCTCTTAAGCAAGAAGTAGAGTAACCATATTGCAACAAGGACACCCTTTTTTGGGGTTGGCTACTTTTGACAGGGAACCTTGAGCAAAAAAAAGGGGTAAAAGCGTACCACAGGGCTACCAAGTTTCGTAGCAGCTCCATGCCCGCCAGCCCTCCCACGTACATGGCCTCAGTCATGAAGAGATCTAATTATCCCCCATTTGTGAGCCTCTATTCATTCAGGGTGGCCCGTATGAAAAAAACAACTCTGAACAATGTTCCTTAAATATGGGAAAATACGACATATCTCCCGAGGGCCTACCTTACCTCGTTCAGAACTTAGTCTATATGACCGGACCTTAAGGAAATCTTACATGTTGGGCAGGGCGCTTGGAACCTTCGAAACGTGACAAGCACAACTGAAAACGCAGTGTAGATTTACACTCACAGTATGATGTGAGTCTGCTTGTGTGGACCTATTGCTCCTACCCCTCGGCCCCCTTGAATCTACCTTGTTTCTGTTTCTTCGCCCATGTAGCCGTTTGCTTCACAACGAAACCCTGCGACTCCAGCTTTACACCTAAGACCCTGGGCTTCGTCTGCAGAACCTTCATGGCGAACAAAAGAGATCTCTGGCCCCCTGCCTCAAATTACGCCGGCTGCAAGGTCCAGACAAGTATGGGTTTATGGCCGTGCAATTACTGCGGTTTTGTAGTTGACCACACCAAGGCGCTGGATCTTTGTAGGAGGATTTCAAGCATATGGCTGGGGTTTAAGGCTTTGAAACACGTTGGCAACTTGAAGAACTATCCGACTTCTCGAATTCTAAGAGTTTCGGGCCCTTCCCGAAAATAAATGCCGAAAACGTTAGGATATGTATATATATATATACATATACGTATGTCTTTTTTTTGTGGGGGGGGGGGGGAGGGTGCCTCTTATACTCTCAGGCAGCGCTTCACGGGAGTTGGGATGTATTCTTTATGTCATCACGTGGGTTTCTTTATGTGTCTCCATTGAGCTTTGTGTAGGAGTCGCGTTTTGTAAGTTTAAAAGGGGCTTAGGGTGTGGGGTTTAGGGTTTTTCTTATTTATTGACAGCTTACGTATTGTTCTTTGTGCCTTTTTGAGCTTCAAATTGATGTTTAGCTGTTTGCTTTTGGGGATTTGTCCATGAACATGCTGGTTGTTTAGCTAAGTAGCCCAGAAACCATATTATGATAAGGGTACCCTTGTTTTTGCTTGGTTCACTACTAGCCCTAAACCCTAAACCCTAAACCCTAAACCCTAAACCCTAAACCCTAAACCCTAAACCCCTGGGAAATTCCGAGGCGCTGGTTGGCAGAACTTCGTTTGCTCGAGCTGATCCTCGGGACCTTCTAGGCAGAGCTTCAGGAGGTCGTAGCCAAGGATCTTCCTTACTTCTCAAGGGGGGAAAAAAGGTTAAACTTTGTTATTCTTACATAATAAGGAAACTTACTTCTCCAATAACCAAGGGGCCAAAATGGTGAACCTTTGTTATTCCTACTAAATAAAGAAACCCAAAAAGTTTAAAGCTTAACTTTGTTATTTCCTACAAAGTAAGGAAACCCAACAAGTTCATCAAGTTCCAGCTGTTGGAGAAGTAAGCTTCTGAGCCGTCGTCAGCATGTCCTTGACCGTGGGCAGGTCCTTCACGTCGGACATCATCTTCACATACTGGGATCCTTGGTAGCCCATAAAGCCACCATCACAATCCAGGCACCTTTTTTTTTTTTTCTTTGGGGGGGGGGGGTTGGTTACGTGCAGTTACTTCATAAGGGAAACCAGCCTAAACCCTAAACCCTAAACCCCAAACCGCCCAGAAACCACCATCATAATCCAGGCACCCGTTTATAGGGGGGTTGGCTACTTGCAGTTACTTCATAATTCAAGGGATCCCAGAACCAACACACAGCAACTTGCTGCTGGTTGGCAGGGAATGGGGGGATGAGGTACCCTATGTAAGCCCTTAAAGGGTATACTCAAAGGGCCCTAGTTCCCACATTCCCTGCTAACCAACGGTAAGAAAAAGGGTAAAGGGCACCCTGGGGGCTACTAGCCCTAAACCCTAAACCCTAAACCCTGAAACCTAAACCCTAAACCCAAACCCTGAACCCTAAACCCTAACCCTAAACCAAAAAAAGTAGGGGCAAAGGGCACCCCTTGGGGCCACCAAGGATCCTTGCCCCGGGAAGAGGAGCGCCGCCTTGGAGGAGGAGGACGGGGAGGAAGCCTCCCAAGCTTTTCAGCGACCCAAGGGTTTAGGGTTTAGGGTTTAGGGTTTAGGGTTTAGGGCTACCTAACTATGTGGAACCCGGAACTCATAAAGTAAAAAAGTATACCACTGAACAGCCCCGAAGCCGGAGCAGCAGCCGGGGCGGAAGCGGGCGCCGGCGCCTCAGCGATGGCGGCCATCTTCGTCTGGTTTTCAAGGGCCGCTGCCTTCAAGTCGAAGAAGGTCTGGATGGCCTTCCTTTGAACAAGAATTCTAGGGAGCCCTGGAAGCGTTTTTTGTTGTTCTAATACCCATGTGCCTCAGTGGGGTGTCTAGAGTCTTTGCGCATATGTCCCTAAACCCTAAGCCTAAACCCTAAACCCTAAACCCTAAACCCTAAACCCTAAACCCTAAACCCTAAACCCTAAACCCTAAACCCTAAACCCTAAACCCTAAACCCTAAACCCTAACTTTTTCTCCTTTCCCCCAAGGCTCTTGGCTGCAAGTGCCACCTCGGGGTCGTTGTCGCTCATCAGCATCTCGACCTCCTCGTCAAAACAGGCACCTTGGTCGTAGTGTAGGTTTGGGCTTTAGGGTTCAGGGTTCAGGGTTCAGGGTTTAGGGTTTAGGGTTTAGGGTTTAGGGTTTAGGGCTTAGGGTTTAGGGCTTAGGGCCTAGCGTTTAGGGTTTAGGGTTTAGGGTTTGGGTGTATACGATTTTGCGTCTTACAGTTTCAAGGTCAAAACAGGCGCCTCGCTCGCCCATCTTCTCCAAAGCCTTCACTGCCGCGACCCTCGTCCGGGCATCCTGGGAAGGCGGATTTCAAAGGCAATTCCTACAAAACGGGCTCAGGGCCTTAAACCCTAAACCCTAAACCCTACACCCTAAACCCTAAACCCTAAACCCTAGACCCTAGACCCTGACCACAAGGCGATCAAAGCACCCCTCTCTTTGTTTTTTAACATATTTGGGCGGGGGGGGGGGGTCTAATATGTCAGGGGCGTTTCGATATTCGCTTTGAAAGTTGCGCTGTTCTCATTCAAAGCAAAGAGGGGGTATAAAAGGGCATTGGCAAGCCTGCAGCCTAAGCCCTACACCCCATACCCTAAACCCCTAAACCCCTAAACCCTAAACCCTAAACCCTAAATGCCGAGAGCATCGGTGTTGGTCGTGAGCCTGCAGACTTCCGAGGCATACATCTGCCCAAGCTCGCCGCAGCCGGCCACCGCCCTGACCGCGGCCACCCTCACCTTCCAAGACTTGTCGTTGAAGAGCCGGCAAAGCCTGGGGGGTTTTGGGTTTAGGGTTTAGGGTTTAGGGTTTAGGGTTTAGGGTTCAGGGTTTAGGGTTTAGGGCGTCGGGATTCGGATTTCGGGTTTAGGGTTGCGGTTGAAGAGCCGGCAAAGCCTGCGGTTGCTAAGGAGAATCATGACTGGGTGCCACCGTAGTAAGGGAAACTACATTCTTTTAAGTGCTATGATAACCACGGTAGCCCAGTAAACATGTTACAATAAGGGCACCATTTTTGGGGTTGATTACTTTTTAAGGGAACCTTGAGAGAAAAAAGGAAAAGGGTACCACTAGGCTACAAACTAACCCTAGGTTGCCTTAAGGGCCTGACTTATATGTGTATATATGAATACGTATATCTATCTATCTGTCCATCTATCTGTCTCTATCTACCTATCTATCTATCTATCTGTCTCCGTCTCTCTCTCTCTCTCCCATGACCCCAACTTTATGTGTTGAGATTCTTAACAAACCTAAACCCTAAACCCTAAACCCTAAACCCTAAACCCTAAACCCTAAACCCTAAACATGGGCCCAGGAGCGGCTCCAAGAATGCCTCGGCCTCGTCGCCCATGCACGCCAAACTCTCCACGGCGCTGGCCTTCGGGGTTAGGGGTTTGGGGGTTATAGGGGTTATAGGGGTTATAGGGGTTATAGGGGTTATAGGGGTTATAGGGGTTATAGGGGTTATAGGGGTTATAGGGGTTATAGGGGTTTAAAGGGGTTATAGGGGTTATAGGGGTTATAGGGGTTATAGGGGTTATAGGGGTTATAGGCGTTTAGGGGGGGTTAAGGGTTCAGGGTTTTGTAGCTTTTAGGGTTTAGGGTTAAGGGTTTGGGGGTTGTAGGGGTTTAGGGTCTAGAGTCAAGGGTTCAGGGTTTTATAGGGTTTGGGGCTTAGGGTTAAGGGCTTAGGCTTCAGGGTTTCTAGGGTGTATAGGGGCTTATAGGGGTTTATAGGGTTCACAAGGTTTATAGGGTTCATGGGGTTCATTGGGTTTCTAGGAGTTTGTAGGTCTTACACCGTGTAGAGGGCTTATAGGGTTCATTGTACCCTAAACCCTAAATGTAGGTCTTACACCGTGTAGAGGGCTTATAGGGTTCATTGTACCCTAAACCCTAAACCCTAAACCCTAAACCCTAAACCCTAAACCCTAAACCCTAAACCCTAAACCCTAAACCCTAAACCCTAAACCCTAAACCCTAAACCCTAAACCCTAAACCCTAAACCCTAAACCCTAAACCTGGCCTTCACCGCCGGGCTCGGGTCGGAGAGGAGCTCCGCCACGGCCGACGCCTAGGCTGGCCCTTCAGGAGCCTCTGAAAAAATGGATTCTTCTATAGTTTCCTCCTAAAACCCAAGAAGGCAAACCCTAAACCCTAAACCCTAAACCCTAAACCCTAAACCCTAAACCCTAAACCCTAAACCCTAAACCCTAAACCCCTAACCCTAAACCCTAAACCCTAAACCCCAAGCCCAGCCGCCGTGGATGAGCTCGGGGAGCCACTGGCAGCCATCTGGCCCAGCACTTTGCACGCAGCCGCCGAGACCTCGGGCGCCGGATCCTTGAGGAGGTCGGTGAGCTGGGACTCGAACCGGGAGCTATCGGAACCGACCTGGGAGTCAGGGGGGGTTTAGGGTTTAGGGTTTAGGGTTTAGGGTTTGGGGTTTAGGGTTTAGGGTTTGAGGCTTGGGGTTTGGGGGAGTGTTAGGGGATAGTGTCAAATGAACCCGAAAAGGGTTGATGGTTCATAGACCAGAGGAACTACAGTAACACAGGGTATCTAGACCCTAAAGTAACCTAGGATTCGGGGCTCATAAGGGAACCTCAACCCTACAACAAAAACAAGAATAAGTTACTCTGGGTCCTAGGTGTATGGTAAACCCTAAACCCTGAACCCTCAACCCTAAATTATTGCAGTACAGGGATCTATGACCCCAAACCCTAAACCCTAAACCCCAATGCATAAGCCAGCCCACCTGCATCTGGCTTAGGGCCATGACCGCGGCGGCCCGAATCTCCCAGTCCTCGCTTTGATTTTAGGGTTCTAGTTTAGGGTTTAGGGTTTAGGGTTTGGGGCTTTGGGTTTAGGGTTTAGGGTTTAGGGTTTAGGGGGGAGTAACTTATCATGTGGGCTCAGCGCTTCTGTTGTGGAGGCTTCTTTGGGGGGGCATAAACCCCTAAACAACCTAAGTAACCCGAGATGACATCTATAAGCCCTCCTCTGAGTCTTCCGGGGCCCTTCCTGTGAGATGGGTATTTGCGAAAAAAAAAAGTACACCTTTTACACCCCAGATCGAATAGAATCCCCTTAAAGGGGACCCCCCAGAAGGGTACCCCCTATTTTCGGAAAGCCCCTAAACCCTAAACCCTAAACCCTGAACCCTAAACCCTAAACCCTAAACCCCAAACCCTTAACCCTAAACAGATCTGTCCTTGGAGCTCAGGAGTTCCATCAGCTTGGGAGCCGAAGAGGAGCTCCCCAGCACGCCCAGGGAGGCCGCCGCGGCGCAGGCGGGCTTTCGCAGCGCCTGAGCTGTCCAGTAACTGTAGGGGAGGTATGAAGGTTAACCTTTGGGTTTAGGGTTTAGGGTTTAGGGTTTAGGGTTTAGGGTTTAGGGTTCAGGGTTTAGGGTTTAGGCTTTAGGGTTTAGGGATCATGTTACCTGCAAAAAGGTGAAAGGTTGCCTTCTCTTCTTCCAAGCCGCCGCGGGGGTCTTGGGCATGACGCCCGCTGCGGTGAGCATGTGCGTGGAGATGTCTTCGGCCTACGCGCGTGCCGGGGTTTAGGGTTTAGGGTTTAGGGTTTAGGGTTTAGGGTGGCGTATGGGGCTCAGAGGTATGAAGAGGGGGGGGCGGGGTAGGGCCTAGAATATACAGGGTTCACATAGACCCTTGAGAAAGGGAACTAGAGCGACAGTTCTACCTAAACCCTAAACCTTAAACCAGAAACTCTAAACCCTACACCCTAAACCCTACACCGAAAACCCTAACCCTAAACCCTAAGCCTAAAACCCTAAACCCTAAACCCTAAACCCTAAACCCTAAACCCTAAACCCTAAACCCTAAACCCTAAACCCTAAACCCTAAACCCTAAACCCTAAACCCTAAACCCTAAACCCTAAACCCTAAACCCTAAACCCTAAACCCTCCACCCTAAACCCTCATCCCTAAACCCTAAACCCTAAACCCTGGGCGCTCTGGGGCTTCGGGTCAGCCTCCAGGGCCAACGCCGCCTCGAGGGATGGCACGTAGTCGGCTGCGGATGGGCCCATGGCCCTGGGCTGTGAGGATGTCTTGGGTTTGGGGGGTTTGGGGTTTAGGGTTTAGGGGTTTAGGTGTTTGGGGTTAGGTTTAGGGTTTAGGGTTTAGGGTTTGGGTTTAGGGTTTGGGGTGAGGGTTTAGGGTTTAGGGTTTAGGTTGGGGTTTGGTGTGGGGTTAGGAGTTTTAGGGTTAGGGTTTTCGCGGGTTTCGGTTTTAGGTTTAGGGTTTAGGTTTGGGGTTTGGGGTTTGGGTTGTTAGGTTGTGGGGATTTTAGGGTTTAGGTTTTAGGTTTGGGGTTGGTGGGGTTTAGGGTGTGGGGTTTAAGGGTTTAGGGTTTGGGGTTTGGGGTGTTTAGGTTTTCGGGTTGGGGTTTAGGGTTTAGGTGTTTAGGGCTGGGGTTGGGGTTTAGGGTTTTTTAGGGTTTTGGGGTTTTGGGGTTTAGGGTTTCTGGTTTGGGGTTTAGGGTTTGGAGTGTTTGGAGTTTTTGGGTTTGGGGTTTCTACTCAACTTCTTCCGACACTTCTGACACTTGCGAGACGTGAAGGAGGGTTCGGGACAGACATGCTGTTGCCTTTAGATGACCTTGCTGTTGCCTTTAGATGACCCCGTATGCACCCCGAGCGATGTCTGGCGGCTATCGACTTCTGGGTATCTTCAGAGACCCTGCTTGGGGAAACGCACGTCTTGGAGAAAGCGTGAAGAAACCTAACCCTAACCCTAAACCCTAAACCCTAAACCCTAAACCCTAAACCCTAAACCCTAAACCCTAAACCCTAAACCCTAAACCCTAAACCCTAAACCCTAAACCCTAAACCCTAAACCGGAGCCAGCAGTCGTCATGGCATACGCAGCCGCCGCCACCACTCCCGGGTTGCTACTCTGTAGGCCCTTGCCCAAGGCCGCCGCCTGGTTTGAGGATTGGGGGTCAAGGGGGGGGGGGGGGGGGGGGGGGGGGGGCTAGGCTTTAGGATGTGTAGGAAAGGGCTTCTAGAGGGCTTCCTTCGGGGGAAAGACAGCTTGGTGTAAGACTGGGCTGAGGAAGAAAGAAGGTTGCCCGGCAACCTAAGAACAAAAAAGGGCGCCCGGTTGTGTTTAGAACTACAAGGTTTGTAGGGAGCCTAAAAGAAAGGGACTAAGGGTACCACCAGCCCTAGAACCCCGAATTTCCCTAAGCCCTACTGGGGGGATCCTGGGAGCAAATCCCCGCTTGTAACCCTGGTTGGAGCACACCTCGCACCCCAGGGATTTTCCAACCCCGGTTTAGGGTTTAGGGTTTAGTTCTTAGGGTTTAGGGTTTATAGGGTTTAGGGTTAGGGGCACACCTCGGACCACTTTCCAACCCGTGGGCTTCCACACTCCCGAGTCCCCAACACCCTAACCCCTAAACCCTTTAAACCCTAAACCCTTTAAACCCTAAACTCTGTAAACCCTAAACCCTAAACCCTTTGAACCCTAACTCTTTGAACCCAAAACCGCGCGACTTCGGCTTCAGGCCGGGGGGGAGGGGGCGGGAAGGGGGTGGGGCAAAACCCTAAACCCTAAACTCTAAACCCTAAACCCTAAACCCTAAACCCTTACATCGAATCAAAGATCGAGGTGCCCAGTTCCCCAGTGTGGAGTGCAGGGGGAGTGATAGTGAAGCAATGCTATACTTGGAGGTTCATGGTACTTACTAACCAAATATTGCTTGCACTTGTAAACTTTGTAAACCAGTGATGATCTTAATCTGTACTTACTTGCTAACCAAATAGTAATTGCACTTGCAAACCGATTACTACCATATTCGGGTAATTATGGGGCTGATAAGTGGGTTATAAATTCAGTTATAATTGGCTGTTAAGTACCACGAACCGCCAAGTAGTAGAAGGCGCTTGTCACAGAACATCAGGATGCAGCATGTTTCTGAAGGTCTAGTTTTGGGCTTGTCCCGAGGGCCCTAGATCTCGGGATTGTCATTGGGGAATGGCATGACGCGCTGGGTTTAGGGTTTAGGGTTTAGGGTTTAGGGTACCCCCCGAAACCCCAAACCGCATGCGCCTGACCCGCAGCCTTGACGCCCAGGGAGTTCAGGCACTCGGCCGCGGCGATGCGCACGTACGTGTCGGAGTCAGGGACCATCCTGGCTTAGGGTTTAGGGTTTAGGGTTTAGGGTTTAGGGTTTAGGGTTTAGGGTTTAGGGTTTAGGGTTTAGGGTTTAATTAGGGCTTAGGGCTTAGGGCTTTGGGTTTAGGGTCATGTTTCGAGACGTCCGGTTTGCTGATCGTTCGATGGGGCTTAGGGTTCAAGAGATTCGGGATTAGGGACTGACAATGCCGAGCGCCTAGGAGAGAAGGTCTGTGGAGACACGTGCAGTCGGAGAAACAGAGAAAGGCAGAAGAGAGATGGAGACACAAACACACACACACACACAAACAGAGACACAGACTGAGACAGGGAGAAAGAGGATCTGCAGGATTTCTGGCTTGATTCGGTGACACTTTTCGAGGCCGCGTCGTCAAAACCCTAGAGGACCAAACGAACTCTCTAATTAGTAGCATATACCCTCTACCACTAAATGACCCTATGTATTTATACTGCACTACACCCTGAAGTCCAAGTGGCTGAGCCAGAGCCGGCGCGTAGCTTTCGGCGCCGTCCATGCCGCACAGCGCACGCGCGGCTGCTGCTTTGACCTGTTTTAATATGGTGAGTTCTCTAGAATATACTCCTTTTTGGGGTCCTGATTTTAAGGCGGCCCCTCTTATTAGGGTACCCAAAAGGGGACCATATTTTAGAGAGCTCACCATATGGATGTGGGCGGGGGAGGGGGGGTTGGGATTGTATTAATACTAATAGTGGTAGTAAGAACGATAGTCATAATTAGTTAGAGTAATAGTGATAGAAAGTACCATGACCAAGAACGATGGGAATCATGAGAGTACTAAAGATAGCACGAATGACGGTATTGACAATGCTGGCAATGATAATGGTCGTAGTACGCATACGAGTAAGAATAGTAATGATAGCAATGATAGTATGAATAGTGATAGTAATACTGACCGTGATAGTCATGATAAGATAAATAATCATAGTAATGATAATAGTAAGAATATCAACTAATAGTAAGAATAACAAGAATAATACTAATAGTAAGATAGTAAAAAGAATAACAAGAATAATACTAATAGTAAGATAGTAATCGGGGCTGGGGGCCCGAGCTGGATTTTCTTTGGGGTTAGGGTTTAGGGGGTTAGGGTTTAGGGTTTAGGGTAGACGGTGTAGGGTTTAGGGTTTAGGGTTTAGGGTTTAGGGTTTAGGGTTTAGGGTTTAGGGCTTAGGGTTTAGGGTTTAGTTAGGGTTTAGGAAGAAATTCTCGGGTTGGATGACAGACATGCTGCCTCATGCGTGGGCTTCCCTACCTTGGGGAACTTGGTCACCAAAAGGAATCAGGGTTTAGGGTTTAGGTTAGCTGTACCGCAAAAAGGAAAGTTTTTAGGGTTCAGGAGTAAGGTTTCCAGGTTTGGTTCATATACCTTAACAGGAATTATCGTAAGTGTAGGGTATACGGCCCAGAACTTTCGGGTCCATTTGGTCATGTGGTCTCCGGGGTACTCTACACGCGCCAGCAAGGAGGGCATCCCGATGTAAGAGCAGTCGCAATAAGCGAGGGAGGTCGCAGCTGCTCTGGGATGCGGAGCACAGAATTGGCAGAGCAGGTAGGGCCCTAAAACCCTAAACACAAAACCTGATAAACCCC